TGAAACAATTTCCATCTCCGTATAGCAGCGATAGCAAGCAAACTGCGCACAGATGTAAGACGAGCAACTGGAGCAAATGTCTCTTCATAGTCGATTCCATACTCCTGTGTAAAACCCTTGGCAACCAAGCGTGCCTTATAACTCTCCACAGAACCATCAGATCGCGTTTTGATCTTGTACACCCATTTACAGCCTATTAGAGACTTTTCAGCAAGGAGATCAACTAAATCCCATGTACGAGTGTTCTCAAGAGCTTGTAATTCATCTTGCATAGCTTGTTGCCAAAGAGGGTTAGAAGAGGCCTCTTGATAGGATTGAGGCTCATGTAACGAAGTAATAGCAGGAAAACAATGATAATCACGAAGGTAGTTTGGAGGCTTTCTTACCCGAGTAGGATGACTTGAGGATGGGACAAAAGCTCATTTGTAGACGAGGAAGTAGAAAAAGGCTCAAAATTATCTAATGCATTACCAGTAGGCAGATCATCTTCTACAGAACTGGTTGGAGCATGTGGTGAGGCATTGTAGAGCTCATCAGATGTACCTGCATTAGAATCACTAGGAAATAGCTCAATAGAAGGATTAGTAAAAAATGGAGGTTGATGAGAGGATGACACTTTGAAGTTTGACAATGATGAGAACATAGTGTGTTCCCAAAAGACAACATGACGTGAAACTCAGAGTTTTTGTGACACAGGATCCCAACAACGATATCCTTTTTGTGTAATCCCATAACCCAAAAAACAGCATAATCGAGCTCTAGGTTCTAACTTGTTATGTTCATGAGGTGGAAGAAGATCAAAACATGGACAACCAAAAACCTTAAGAAGATTATAAGCAGGAAGAATACCATGTAGACGCTCATATGGAGACTGGTTATTAAGGACTGATGATGGAATGCGATTAATAAGATAAGCAGCTGTAAGAGCAGCCTCACCCCAAAATCGCTCTGGACAAGAGGATGAAATGAGCAGAGCACGAACAGAATCAAGGATGTGTCTGTGTTTGCGTTCAGCTCGCCCATTTTGTTCAGAAGTATAAGGACAAGATTGTTGTGGCAGTGTATCCTGTTCTTTCAAAAAAGATTGAAGTTTAGTACCAAGATATTCAGTAGCATTGTCAGTTCTCAAAACTTTGATAATTTTAGAGAACTAGGTTTTGACCATGGTAGCAAAATCAATATAAATTTGTGATAATTCAGAGCGACTTTTCATAAGGTATATCCAGGTGAAATGAGTATGATCATCAATAAATAACACGAAGTACCTGGAACCCCCCATGGTGGGTGTAGGAGATGGACCCCAAACATCAGAATGCACAAGATCAAAAGGAGCAGTAGAATGAGAATGACTACTTGAAAAAGATAAAGA